ACTTCCCCCTTTAACGTTCTCATGGTGGTCTCAACAACGTCCGCAGTAACAACACACATAGGGCGCACCGCACTATAGGGAGCGCCGCACATTTTGAGGGAAAAAAAAGACGTTTATATGCGCCTTATAGTCGCGAAAATACGGTAGTTATCAGGCTCCTTTCCTGTGGAACCAACTACCAGTTATAGTCCGTGAGGCAGACACCCTGTCTACCTTTAAGGCTAGGCTTAAAACTTTCCTTTTTGATAAAGTTTATAGTTGTGGCTCAGGTTATCCTGAGCTATCTTTATAGTTATGCTGCTATAGGCTTAGACTGCTGGAGGACATAGGGACCCCCATTTCATCATTTTGCTTCATCATCTCTCTATTCTCCCAATCTGCAGAATATGTTAGTTTAATCTCTAATTTTAAGCTCTCTCTGCTTTTTCTCAGAGTAGCTTTGCCTCGTCTGTTCCTGTTTGGCTGTGACTCCATCCTGGGGAGAAATATCAGCTGCTGCCATCAATGCCTTTGTTCATAGATGTTGGAGATCGGCCTGTTTTCCAGTGTAGTCCTGTTTCTCTGACTTTGACTGGCTGGATGTGCTCTCTTCATCCTCTGACATGGGAGCTGGCTTGGAGCTTGTCTGCCTGGCTGTGTGTTTCCTGGACGGGGACGCCTTTTACAGTTGCTTTTTGTATCTCTGCTTCAGTCTCCTTGAACCCCAGTCGGCCTCAGCAGATGGCCGCTCACACTGAGCCTGGTTCTGCTGGAGGTTTCTTCCTGTTAAAAGGGAGTTTTTCCTCTCCACTGTCGCTACAAGCATGCTTATTGTGAGGGATTGCCTTTGAGTCAATGAGTCGATGCAATCAACTGGTTTTACTTTGGTTAGAAAACTTTGAATCAATTTGACTGTATGATCTGGTGAACTGTAGAGTGCCTTGAGATGAAAAGTGTTGTGAATTGGCGCTAAATAAATAAACTGAATTGAACTGAATATTCTGAAGTAAGGTGACCTGATTTCTGAAATCAAATCTGGGGACATTTCCAGCTCGTAGATAAATAGAAAGACATATCAAAATAAAAATAGGAAACGGGGACAGTGATGCTTTCATCCATTTTTACATATTTATTAATATTTATACAACAAAAATCAAGTGTAAAATCCAGGAATGTCCTTCTCCTATTTCCTAAGATTGATAAAATTAATCAATCAATTGTGTTTATTAGTTCCATTCAGTCTTCTTCCATCTCCACCTTCTATTTGTAGCTGACTTCTACTTGCTCTGTTTTACAGTACTCTTCTAAGTAGATTTTTTTCTTTGCTCTCATTCAATCTTCTTTCTATCAGTCCTCTAATCTTCTTCCTCTTCTATCGATCTTAAACTAATCTAAAACAGACATAATACAAACAAAATCCCGTAACGACAGATCAGTAACTAAAAAAATTAGAGCATAATTCTTATATAATCCCCAAAACTAAGACTGTTTATTTAAATGATTGGATGCAAACTATTGGTATTTCAACATACCAGGAAGCAAATTTCTCATCTCGATCAAAATATTTATTTTATCCTAAGAGGCTTAAAAGTTTTATTAAGTCCAGTCACAACTTCCAAGAGCGAATCTCACAACTTCAAAACAAACTGCTTATCTCAGGCATGGATGAAGAGTTGCTGAATTTGGGGGTAGAGAGCTAACCGATTTTGGATGATCTTAATTATCCCTATTATAAAGATGCACAATAAAAAGAAATGTTTGGACAGAAACATGATGGATGCTGATGGTGAGTTTTAATTATATCATGAAATTAAGCATTAATTTCAGCATTTTTTACTCCTATGAATTTATTAATAATATTAAAGTCGCGCATGCTCTCCTTGAGCCCCGAGGAAGTCGGATCGGAGCAAGACAGGAGGAACCGCGGAGGTTTAACCCTAACCCTTATTCAATTGTTCACAGCTGCCAACCAGCAAGCTAACAGCTGTTTCTGCACGCAACATGCTTAAGCGCTCTTTCTACCGTAACAACAGGCTATAAGCAACATTTCCTCCTAGTTTATAAAACTGTAAAATCAGGGACAGCTTTAGTCGGGGACAGGTGGTCCAAAAGGGGACTGTCTCCGGAAATCGGGGATGTTTGGTCAACGTATTCTGAAGGACCAGTTTCTTAACTGTTCTTAAAATATAGTTTCTTAAAAAAAAAAAAAAAAACATTATTTCAAAGTAGATGATTTACATAAACATGTTATCTGTTTTCTAAAAATTTAAATGCAATAATTTAGCACAATTTCTACCAACAATCTCCTTTAGATTTACTCATCTTGTAACCAACATTATATACTTATGATGCGGCAAATGTCTAAGATTAGATTTTTTTGCCAAAAATAATTTCCCCAAATGTTTGAGGAGCCAAATCTTTAAAATATATATATTTAGTGTAACATTAGTAGTTTTTTTGTGCTTTACAATGAGGAAAGATAGAACACAACTTTATTAGGTTGACCAGATGTCCCGGATTTTACCGTTTCATGAATGAGGGGGAACATTTTTACATGTTATTATGGTAGAAAGAGCGCACAGAAACATCTGTTAACATATAGATGAGGAGCAGAGCGCACCAGTTTCAAAACAGACGATAAAGTTCGTTATCACAGCGGGCTGGATACAGCTACATGTAATCCCACATCCTCCATCACCGCCCCGCTCAGCCCCGCTTCGCTCCAGACCGCCTGCACAAAGCAAAGCCTACAGCCTTCGCTGTTCCTCCTCTCTTCCTGCGCTCCGACTTCCTCGGAGCTCGAGGATAACATGCGCTATAATATTATTATATTTATAGGGGCAACACATGCGGAAATGAATGCGTAATTTAATATATGACATATAAGATCCCGATCAGCATCCAGCAGATGTGCAGCATCTGCCCAAATATTTTCTTTTTCTTGTGGATTTTTCTAACAGGGATAACTAGGATCATATAATCTTTACATTTACATCCTATCAAAATAACAACAGCTTATTCAAAAACAAAAAAGACAGCTGCATCTATGTACGCATGAATAGAAAATTTAAAAAGTTTAGGAAAGTGAAAATATATTCCTATTAGGTTTCACTATGAGAGCATATTTTATTGGTAATGACAAAACATGTATTTTTTGGTGCCGCTGGTTCAAGCTTCTCATGAGAATGATCCAGATTTATAGATGTGTTTTAATTGTTGTAATTTAATCTGAATATAAAAATCTAAGGTAGCTTTTTTAATAGTCAAACAGATTTTAATACAGGCTGCTGAAGGCTGCACTGCAGCTGTTCAGGATACAGTATAAACAACTGGAGGCCATTTAATTTTTATAGTTATCATTATGTAGAAAAAAAAATATGTTTTCCAATTTGTATATATATATATATATAAAAAAAGTTTAATTTTACTGATGCAAACTGGCCTGTCCCTGAACGCAATGTTTTATTGCTCACAATGGAAGAAGAGAGAAGACTGAATGAGCTGATGGCACTAATAAAAACTATTAAATGAATAATATTATTTATCTTAGGAAATGGAAGAGGCGCATTCCTGGATAATGCTAAAAAGTATATAAAAATGGATTAAAGCATCACTGCCCCGGTGGTCCATCTGTTCGTATTCTAAATTTCATAAAATGTATTTATTTTTATCTATGAAGTGGAAATGCAGAAATCTGGTCACGTTAATAAGCTGCATGCATACTCAGGCTAGCATGTTAGCCCGCTCAAGTAATTTCATGTTTGTTTTAACAGTTTTATTTCAGATACAATAGTTACTTTAACTAAATTTAATGCTTCAATGGTTATAATATTTTTTATATATAATATTTGTTGGGTGGCTTTAACAGTCATATAAAAATAAACAAAAAACGTTGCTTCTATGCTAACATGCTAAAGTAGCATCTTTTTCCTTCCTTTAGAACATGCAGATGTTTGGAAAACGTAATTTGCAATATTTAAAGACAATTATTTAATAGTTAAAATCTATTTGACAGTTTAAAGCTAAAATAGTAAGATGTTGGAATATTTTAACATGATAATGTACTAATCTAGTTAAAATGATATCGTAACACAATCAAAGCAGTTTAAAGATTTCAAAACAAATTTAATCTTAGAATATATTTGGTCGGATTTACTGTAGTAAGATCTTTTATTATTTGTTTTGCTGGTGAAGATTCTCAGTAATTCAGGTCATAGTCATTCTAAAAAGCAAAAAAAAACAATCCACTGGACTTTATTTCCAAGTTTGAAGACGTTTCGCTTCCCATCCAGGAAGCTTTTACAATTCAAAATGTCAGGAATAGCGTTGAGTTCCTGCTATTTCTGACATTTTGAACTGAAAGAGCTTCCTGGATGGGAAGCGAAAAGTCTTCAAACTTGGAAACAAAGTCCAGTGGATTCTTTTTTTTTTTACTTTTTAGAAAGTTATTTATTTTATTTAACATTATGGCAGGTCTCTGAAAGCCATTTTTGTTCATATTTTATTCATTGCTAAACATTAAAAAATGTAGTCTAAAAATGCTTTTTTCCAATATATATATATAAAAAAGGTTCTAAATTTCAAATAAAAAGGATAAAACACCCTGATTGTAGGTTGTGAGGATATTACATTAAATAAAATGTAACCCAAATAACTATAACATGATTTTTCTTCCTGAGACAGACTGGCGACCCATCCAGGGTGTACCCCGCCTTTCCTCCATAGAGTGCCGGAGAGAGGACCGGCCCCACCGCGAACCTGATGGAGTAAGCAGTAGAACGCGGATGGATGGATGACGTGTCTTTGATGGAGGTATAATTCCTTCCAATGCAATTTCTTCAACATATATTTGAGGTATGAATAAAACAGGGTTCAGAGTAATTGAGACAGGTGCCAAAGAACAACATAAATGGAACAGAAAGTGAAAGTTGGCAGCCATATTGCAGTTAAAAAAAAAGTAAATTCAACAGAAACAGGTTTGCACAAATATACGTTTTTGGTAATAATTTTGACGTTCTGACCTGTTTAAGTGGCAGCTGGGCCAGCCATGTGTTCTCAAGCATCTCTTTCCGCTTGGAGGGGGGGGCATCACGGACCTTTAGGAACAGTTCGTGAGCACGGAGGCCGCAGTGTTGACAAATGCCTTGCTCTGCCTCCAGCACACGGGAACGCATGTACGTCTGGCTGGACCGCAACTGGAATTCCTCCTGGCATCTGGAGATGAGATAGTATCAAAATATCTGGACCTGAATTTAAATCAGTAAATAGGTGGAGTTACATGTTTATATCTTGAATAAATAAATACTGTAATTTCTCATGAATATGGCCTTGATTGTGCAGAAAAAATGTCATAATTTGTGTTATTTGTCTGCTATGACTTATTGATCAACCCTATGTCCTTTAAACCTATATAAACTGTGGTAATGTTGAACCTGTGGCTGCAGAATCGTGTATCCCAAGCTCCACCCGCTGTAGGACAGGCTTGCTGGCAGGAAAGACACAGAGGGACACCCTGACTGTCCAGAGCCTGAAGATAGCCGGGCTCTGAAGGCTGCTCATCCTCCGTCTTTTCGGGTTGCTCGTTCTGTCTGCAGACGGTTCAAAAGGTAAAATAAATCAAAAAAATACATCATTGCTAGTTAAAATATAGAAACATTAACACCAATTAAACAAGGACATGCGTCCACTTATTCTCTAACAATATCTATTACCAAAGGCGTTATGGCTAGCCACCCAAGGTGCTTAGACTTTGCGATTTCAAGAGCTACATTTAAGGAAATACATAACTTATGTCACTGAAATAAGCTTCAGTAAATACATAGTATGGTAACAACTGGAAATAACTAAACTGCATAAAACTGCTTTCAATTCTGAGAGTACATACTCTTAGCTGTGGAGCATCTTAGATTATATCTGACTAAAGTTTTAATGATTTAATAATTAGTGTATTTTGCAGTAAAAAGGTGCCCAAAGATTAAAGAACCACCAAGAAACCTGCAGGTAACAGGATTTTCCAACCTCTTACACATGACCAACTCCTTTTGTCATCAGGTAACGCACTATGCTAAAGGGCGGATTATACTTCTGCAACCGCAGACAATCAAATGTCGCTTGGGTCTGGTCGCGAACCAGTTTTGCTGGTATGCTTCTGCAATGTAGGTCTGGAATTTCTAGGGACGCACAGCAGTTTCCCGCAAAAGCGCTAGGAGGAGCCTATTTGAGAACTCGCGAACTTCGGCGGATGGTCACGAGAACTTCTTCGGCTGCGCAAGCGGGAGTTGTCACGATCCGTTCTGCGCATGCATCATCAGGTAATTTGCGCATGTGCATCTAGATATACATCCATCCTCGATTTTATTTTGTTAAAAATACCTAAATGACGTTTTTCTTCCCCAAACATTGTAAACGTACTAAAATATAATGTGTTAAAGGTTAATAGGAAATGGGATCCTATGCTACTTCTGGTGGCTAACTTTTTCGGCTTTGGATTTAAACATAATTCTCATCTTTTTGAGTTTTATGTTTTAGTTTTGTTTTAACCTTATGTTATATAGTGCGTAATCTAAAGAAAGGAACAACTAAAAGGCAGATTAACATGGTTTAATCATATTTTGCCGGACTGCTCTGAGCATGACCCATGATGACGTCAGAGAAGCAGTTTAACGAAAAAAATGTAAAAAGCATAAAAATTGTCTCACAAAATTCCTAAAGTTTTTTTCAAAGACGTGTATTAGCATTCTTTAGTGAGTTAAGGATATAAATAACTAGTTTTAGTACGAAACTACGGATGTACATTTGTTTGCGCATGTGCAGGACGGATCGTGCTTCCAGGACGGATCGGGAAGTTAGAAGAGTGTTAATTTTCCAAAAGAACAATGGCGCGTCTAGAAAATATCACGGTCACGGAGATGGATCTAGTATCCATTCATTGCTGGTATTCCTCTGTTTTTAAAACACAGACAGCCGGAAAGCCATACCAAGGACCAATGAGAGCGGCTTTTTGTCTGCAAACTTCCGTTTGATGTCTGCGCGGGTTTGCCACCGTCCGACATGTAGTCAGGAGTTTTTTGAGGCACAGAGACAGATTTGACGGTTGCAGAGGCTATGCATCAGAAGTATAAATTGGCCTTAAGCCCTTACATGTCACAGCAGTAACATTCTTCGGTGTAGAGGTGAGTATTGGCGTGAGTGTTGCAATTCGATACATGTCGCGATACTTGGGTCACGATACAATATTATCACGATATTGCAGTATCACTATATATTGCCATATTTTCCCCAGCTATCAAATGATGAGATAAAACAGCAAGTTCTGTATATTTTCATCAGAAAATATTGATTAGGTATTATTATCCATGTTGTTTGGGGTTTTCTTCCACTGTGACTGCCTCCAATACAGATTTGGTGCTGCACACACAGTTAAAGGGCTCCATAGCGCTTTCTACCAGAGTGGTGGTGCTATTTGGTTTAATTAACAATTTATACATGAAGTAGACTTGAGCTTAAAAAGGATTATAAAGAATGGTGGCCATAAAACCTCTGATGTTTGTATGAGAACTTAAACCAAACCTGATGTCAGGTATCTAAATATGAGATACTGTGGGATTAACCAAGCTAGAAGAAGGTAAACTAGCTGTGAACTATTGTCTATATCAGAAAAATACAATATGATGCAGCATGAAATAATTTTATGGTCACAAAAAAGCAAACAGTGTATGCAATCTAATCTTTTCTTTCAGATGCGATGACTGCTGCAAAGATTTATTCCTTTGGTGCACCGCACAAAGTGAAGTTACCTAACATCAGTCTAAATTCCTGCCTTTTCAGCACCAGTAGAGCAGTAAAAACAATTCAATATACATTCTCATCCAATACAAATGAAATCAAACCACTTCTGCAAACAAAGACTCAGAGAGGCATATAGTTTGGGTCTGTGAAATGCCTTCAGACTGTTTCTATTCATAAGGCTGATGTATCATCACAACGATCCTGGTATGTGTGTGCATGCTTGTCCTTTTGGCAGGGGACAGCAAATCTGGGTATCTGCCATGTTTTCCCGGCAGGGTGCTAGAGCCACATTGGAGCAGACAGATGGACTGAATTCTCTTTCCCCGTGGTTTACAATTCAGATAGGCAGAGACAGGAACAAAGAGCCAGAAAGACACAGCACTACAGAGGAAAAATACAATCATTGAAATGGAGAAGAAAACCTTCTAAAAAAAGGAACCTTGCTGCTTCAAAGTTGTGAAGATACCAAACAATGGAGAGGAACCGAGAAACAAACCCTGTCAGTACAGTGAAGTGGATAAAAGAAATGCACTATTTATTGGTGTCCTTAATCTGATACTGGTAAAAAAAAATAATTCACCCAGAATCAAACAGCTTTAGGTCCGACTACACATTTTTGATACATTCAGCTGGAAGAAGCAAAGCCACCTGAACTATGAGTGATTTAAATCAAATTTGAAGATGTGTCTTATTTTTAGCTCCATTTAAATTCCTGCCTGTGTAGCAAATGTTCCTGCTGGCAGCTCCACGCCACACAAACTCTCTGTAAACTCATTCTTTAAACCTCAGAAATCACACAACATGCCTTTAGCAAACGGCGCACAGCATGCTAATGTTTACCACCTCGGCTCATCTCTGATGCTTTAAAGCTAAAGAAACCAAAAGGCGATGCAGAGTAGTCCAGTCTTCAATGAGGGGGGTTTGCTCACAGCTGGTACAGTTTTAAGCATTTGAATCTGCTGCTTCTGATGCATCTAAAGGGGATTCTGGGTTTAAATCACTGGTCATAGTTAAAAACAAACAAAAAAAAGATCAGAAATAATTGGATGATAGTACAGTAAACTAATATTTCACATAAAAAAAGAGGCTCGGGATTTGGCAGGTACTACGATCCTGATGCAAATTCTGCTGGAGAAGGTGATTTAAAACCCATGCATGCAGGAGAACACTGTCAAAAACAGTCGAAAGAACTTTTTTCCCCACAAACAAGTTAGACTCAAACTTGTAAGAGGTTGAGATGCACTATACTGTCTCACTTTGGCAAAAAAAAAACTGTAGTACTTTACCCCAGCGGCACATTTTTAATAGGACTTGCTTTTCTGCAAACCTGACTTGCTGTGCACAACTCTCTGTCTCATCTGTTAAACTAATATGTTTTAATTCTTTAACAGTAGGTCGCCAAAGTTTTTTGTCACTATACAGTTTATATGGTTTATTCCTTTACAGCCGAATCGAAGCTTGTTCTGAGGAAACTCCAATTAAAGAGGTAGTGATCTTAGATAAACTTAAAATAAAATTGACTATTTGGCTTTTTAGGGCTGGGTTGGTGAAAAGAAGGCTATGAGATATTTTTTGTTTTGCTTTTAAGAAAGACAAATTAAGCGCTTTGGAAATATTCCCTTCAGTCTAAAGTGCAGTGTTGTGTCTGACAGCCATGTGAGATTTAGTCTTAGTTTTCCTCTTACTATATGGGATTTTATTAGTCCAGTTTAAGTCGACTAAAACTCAAAAAGGATTTAAACTAGTATTAGTCAGTCTTAGGTTGAACTTCATAAAACCGCTAACTTTTACAATTTCAAATAACAACTAGATTCTTTACCAGACACAGCTCTTGCTTAGATACTACAATTGTTGGAGATACAATGCTGCAGTGCAGTTCATCGTTGCTGTTGGGCAGAAAACTATTTTATAGAATTAAAATAAATTTTTTTATGAATTAATGTCCAACTTTATATAAAAAAGTAGGGATGCACGATATAATCGGCCCCCTATCGGTATCGGCCTGTATCGGCCTTAAAACTGAATATCGGACATCGGCCACCCCACCGATATTTAACCCGATATTTGATCAGCTTCTGAGTTTCTAAAGTCTAAAAAATATTGATACATTAAAATATCACAATATCTTCA